TTTTTTTTTTTTTTTGAAGTTCTTACAACAAGAAAATGGAGGGGACACACCTGGGTGGGAGGGGGGAGAGGGAGGAGGGAGGGAGGTTTCGGTGAAGGGACACAATAACTAAATACATTGTATATTGACAAAATAAATATATATATATATATATAAAAAAAAAAAAACCAAAGATTATTTCCTTGACAGAACTCTAGCCAGGCTCTTCTGAGCCACTTCTTGACTAGACCTCTACAGATAGTAACATAGTTTCTAACAACTCAAGGCCCTAGCCCCACTTATAGTTACTGCCTGAGAAAACTCAAGGGTGCAAAAGGAATTTACTCTTTGCTCCAATCAACACCTGAAGATAATGTCCCTGTCTCCCAGCATCTGTGGGAAGGGAGTAGCCTAACTTCCGTGAGGGCCATTTAACCCAGATGGGTTTCATATGAACCTACCTCTCCCTTCCCACTTTTTGCAATTTCTCACTTCCCTGCACTCTACTGAGCTCAACCCTTGTCCCTCTTCATATTCCCTCATTCTCCCTTAAGAAGGCTGAGTCACCTCTCTGCCGATGGAAGTTGAGTTCAGTTCGTGCTGGACTCTTCTCTACTGCAATAGATTATTCCTGATTTCAATCTATCCTCGCCACTTTAGTGTCCTGCTTTATTTAACAAGTGGTCATTGGGGCAGGGGCTGGTCTGTTAGCTCAGTTGGTTAGAGCCCAGTGTTATATCACCAAGGTCAAAGGTTCAGATACCCATACCAGCCAGCTGCAAAAAAAAGGATAGGGATGGATTCATTTTTCTGAGTGGAGATCTTAACACCTGTGGCAGGCACTGGGGACCGTGAGGGACACAATTCTATGCAGAAGAGTTCCACGGGGGCCATACTTTTGGAAACTGTCACCATCTGAAGGGATTTTCTGTCCGGGTCACAATTCACGAGGCTTGTTGGGACTGGCCTAGAGCTGGGAAACGGTTAATAGGTGTTTAGAACGCCCAGGGATGATTTGTCAACTTTCTGCAAGACTTCCACCAGATGAGGCCCAAATTGGGGGCAAAGGAGGAAAAGAATCTCACAACATGGAGCGTGTCCGGGAAATAAACTAAAGGAAGAAACAGAACGTAAAACCCTATACAAGAAAAAAACACGAACGGCTTTCGAGTAACGGACCCTCTCGATCTGACCAAGTTCTGCGCCTGCCCAGCTGAGGCAGCGGCGCCCTGCGACTGCGCATGCGCTCTGATTCTCGCGGGTCCCCCAGCTGCGCATCTGCGCCTGCGCAACCGCGCGCCTGGGGTCTAGGAGTTGATGGCTGCCAGCGCTGTGATGGGCGGCTTGGTGCTGCCACGTCTTTGGTCCCCGCCGGCTAGCCGGACGGCATAGAAAGAAAGGTGAATTCACAGCTTTAGAGCCCTTGTTTCCGACCTAACGCATTCTTTGTTTTAATCCGAGATGCTCGGACGCCTCCATCCACAAAGCATCTGGAAACTGGCTCTGGGGAATTTTAAGCTTGTTTGGAAGCGGCCCCTGCCTGGGGCTTCCTTTTTTATCTAGAGACACCCAGGACGTGATGGACATCTCAGAGCTGTCATCTCTGTTTGACTTTCTTAGGGCGTAGAATTATAAAGTTGAGTAATAATTGACTTGAAAAACAGGGAAAGTTCGCTCGCGCGCTTGCTTGCTTATCCATGCACAGAATAATTATAACTGATTCCCTCCAGAGAAGAAACTGGGTGGCTGACGGATGGGGACGAGGCGGAAGGAGGGGGGTTTTGTTTGTATATATCGTTTGAAACGTGTCTGATGTGCATGTGTTACTTTGTGAGTGTTTGAATGTGCATTTGGCTACTTTATCAAAATGTGAACACCAAGGAAATTCAGAAATTTAAGAGGTCTGAGTGGAATTCTGTAATGCTGGATAAAATTATCTATCCGTGAAAAGCTAAAACCTCTTGTGGAACCGCCTAAATCTTCCTGTTTATTTCTGGACAGAGATCATTGGGCGCTTGGAGCGGGGGACAGGAGAAGAGGAACCAGACATTTTTGGAAAATTATCAGCAGTGCTCACGTACAGGAAACAAGTGTTAATATCTCAGTCATTGTATATTCATTTTGGATTTGTTGAAGAAAAAAGGTAAATTTTAGTGTGAGCTCACTGAACTCAAACGTAGATTGGGAGGGGATATTTGATATTTATTTTTGTAAAGGAAATTAATTGGGTGTGATTCGCAGGGTTGAGACCTGAAGTTCCACTTCTGGATAAGGAAAACTTCCCTTGGAGGAATCTCCAGACTGGTTATGGTATATTCCTGCTCCCGACTTTGCAGGATAACTTCAGGCTCCCTTCTCTAAGAGAAGTGGTGAGAAAAAAATTCAACAGGCAACTATGCCTAAGAGGATTTGCAGACATAAGGCTCATGCTGAAAGAAGGTCTGGGACACCTCTCATTCACTGGGTCAAGTTGAACCAGTTTAACTTTGATCTCCAGTGAGCGATTAGACAAGGGTAGGAATTTGGGACCAGAGGTCAGGGATCCAAGAAGTTGAAAATGTGAAGTCAAAGGCAAGAGGTTATAATTTGTTGCCTCTGAGTCTGCCTTGTTTCTAAGTAGGAAGCCAGAGGTTGAGCTCCCAAATGAAACATTTTAGGAATAGTTTTTCTTAAGTAACTCCTAAAGTCACTACATCTACAAAGAAATAAATGAAACCTAGTGGGTAATGCATCAATCAGACTAAGTGGTGCCTGGAAATAGAAATTTCCCTGCAGAGGAGAAAAACCACATCACAGAAGAGCATACTTGGTAAAATTTATTTTTTTTAAAAAAGAAAAAAATAATAATTTATGCCCTTGGCAAAATAAAGGATCTTGTGAAAATAAATGTTTCTTAGAAAACATATGAAAAGATAATATAACATATTAACAAATCAATATTAACATTACAGCAAACGTAGTAATGATTTTGTAACAATGACAAGTGAGGATACCTCTGGCTCTCACACAGCAGTGTATCTGGAAGGTCCTGTGATTCCTCCTTTGTCTAGTACAGATGTTCCCTCACGTTTAGAGAACCTGATGCACACAAATCTAAATTTAGGAAGTCAATCAATTAAAGGATATTTATTTGCATCACAAAATAATTCTTTTTAAAAATTTACAAAATTCTATCAGGGATCCTTCAAATAACTTTTCCTAATGTGTTTGTAATATAATTAACCAAATGAATGTGTCCCCAGCTTCTTTCCAGTTGTAATTCTGTTGCATAAAGCGAGGTATACCTGAAGTGAGGCAGTAACAGAGCTGGGCTTCAGACCTGACTGGAGAGAGTATGTTCTTACGTAGAATATGAGGAAATGGTTGGGGGCACAAGTTCTGTCAATCTTTTGTTTCTCTCATCATGACCTTATTTTTCTTGTCATGACTGCTTTCTAGTAAACTTTGTTCACTTGGTGCTGTCAGGGAAAAAAGGAGGAAGTCATATAGGAGGAGGACAGATTAATGAATTAGTGAGTTACTCCAGCAGAGCAGAGCGAGAGGAGAATTGGATTCAGGGTTATATGTGGATGTAACTGGGGAAAAGCAGGAGCAATCCCGAACCCTTGACATGGTGCTTTTGAGGCTTCTCTCCCAGGAGGGGCATCTGACTCCCTAAGGTGCAGCAAGGCTCAGTCCAGCCCTCCCCGAGTGGGACACATCCTCAGGAGAATGGACGAGGGCCTATTTGTCACACTCCTCCTGGCTGCCTTCAGCACAATTGTAGTGCTGCTCACAGAACTCTTGGATTCGGCTACAAGCCTCCAGCATCATCACCTCGGGGACTGTGATTACCACTCGGAAGAAATTCGGGTACTCGAAGCACTGAAATAAATAAGAGCCTGTTATTTTCAGAGCAGTTGAACCTGATACTGGACCACCCTAAAATGGCCAGGGCCCTAATCAGCAAGAAGCGGTGATGCTGTTAGGGCTATCACTTCATTCAGTGCCTGTCCCTGGGGTGCTAAATCTACAAGAACTAATTCATCTCAAAAGGGACTTGTTTTTGTTTTTTTTTTTTTTTCCAAAAGATGACCGGTAAGGGGATCTCAACGCTTGACTTGGTGTTGTCAGCACCACGCTCAGCCAGCGAGCGAACCGGCCATCCCTATATGGGATCCGAACCCGGGGCCTTGGTGTTATCAGCACCGCACTCTCCCGAGTGAACCACGGGCCGGCCCTCAAAAGGGACTTGTGGGACAAGCTTTGTTTCCTCTCACCTAGAATGTTTGTTTACAACTTTTCCTCCCAATATGGATGAGATAATGATGGGGGAGAAACAAATTTTAAATATAAGCCACGAGACACATCAGTTTGAATATTATCAAATGAGAATATGCTTTTGGGGGGGTGGGGGAGGAGTCAGGCTAAAAACCAGGTCACGGAGAGCTCCTGGAGCTCGTAAACTGTTGAGGATGTCCTGGGGACACACAAGCACTCACCGTTGCTGGGAGGCAGTGGACAGATTGCTCAGCAAGTAACCGCTCTGTGAACTCCACGTCATTCTCAAATTCTGGGAAATGTTCCATCTCAATTTCAACCTATATCAATAATAGCAGGGGAGGGGCAAAGTTATCAGAAGGGGAAAACAGGCCGCTTTTTTATGCCAGAAATGAAAAGATATCTTGGAACTCTACTGCTGATAACTAAGAGTGCTAGCACTTATGAGCTCAAGGAATTTCTCGCAGGGAGGAGAAGATATATATATATATATATAAATGAACTAAAACACATATATATATATATGAAAAGTTTTTCCCTGGAGGCTGATAAATGAAAGCCAGCATTTCTCAAAAAAGGCACTATTATCATTAGGCCCAGGCAATTCTTTATTGCATGGGTCTATGCTACCCACTACAGGATATTTGGCATCCCTGGCCCACAAAATGGCGATAGCACCCCCGAGTCATTCTGAAAACAAAACTCCCATATGTTCCTACACACCCCTAGGGAAGCAGTATCCCAGTTGAAAACAACAATGGTATGGAAAGCCTCTTATTTGTCTCTTCTGTCTTCCCTGCATCTACACATACAATGATTCTCTGTACTGAAGAGAGTTTTATGAATACTGAGGATAAATTACATCAGCGGGACCATTCAGAACAAGATAATTCCTAAACTGACTGGCGCAGGAACCTAGCTGGTTGTCTTTCTGAATGGTGGCACGCCCCACACAACCACCTGTGGCAGTCCTGCTGACTGGCTTCCCTTTGCTTTACAACATACATAGAGCTAGTGACTGTCACCCACATACTTACCATGAGGTACATGGCCCCAGAAGGGAGGACTGGCCGGAGTCCAGGGATGGCAGCCAATGCCCCATAGCAGAGATCAGCATTGGACTACAGAGCAGGCAGAGAGAAATCAAGGATCAAAATTTAAGTACAAGAAAAACCAAATCATTAAAAGTAGAACCCTTACTGAAAGCTAGGAACCTAGATTTGACCTTCTGGCATAAGGAATCAACAAGAAAAAACCTTCCATCACTTGAAATTTTTGGCCAGAAGCAGAGTGAATTGCCAGAAGTGAGAGAAATGTATGACACCTCCTGATATGGAAGCCCCATATTGTAACATCGCTCCAGAAATTAGGACCAATTATTCCCAATTCCATTGGTGGCATTCTCTGACTCCCAAACTCCCAAAGTAGAAGGCCACAGGCTGCCCTTACCTTGAGGAAGCTTAGAATTTTGTGGTAGAACTCCTGAGGGGTGCGTCGCAGAATGCTCTTCAGAGCTCCCTGGACAAGGGTGCAGGGTCCTAAGATCCGCTGACTCAGCTTGACCAACCCATCGCGGATCTAAAAGTCCCCCACCAGAAAACATTCTTTAGCCTTTCTTAAGCATCCCTGTTTGGGGGATTCTTATTCTGACCTTTCTTTCTATTAAGTGTTTAATCTTGGGAAGTGATGGTGCCTAGTGGCGTTCTTACATCAGACCACCTGGGTTTACAGCGCAGCTCTGCTGCACACCTGCTGTGGGACTGGGCAAATAAAGTAACTTCTCTGTGCCTTGTTGTTCTCAACTGTAAAATGGAGATGATACTAAGACTGGCCTCATATGGATTGTTGTGAGGATTAAATTAAAATAATGCCTATAAAGCTCTGTCACATCGTAAGCCCTCAAACAATATTAGCTATCGTTACTGTTATTGTTTCCTTTTTCATGGTCCTAAAATTGGAGGTGGATGGAACTTCTTCACAAAGCCAGATACATGAAAACTGAGTTTGGGAGAGGACTCAGTGTTGTCATCATTATCCAGCATCTTTCCAGGCCCCCTGATCTATAAGGCCAAGAAGAAAGGGGAAAAAATCCTACCTCCAAGCCACAGTGCTCACAAACTAAATACAAGTATGTATCCTAAATTACACACACTATTTTACCACATTGCTCTCACTTCATTGCCAAAAATGTCTCTTCGATCATGGATGAGGATCCAGCCCAACCTCCAGCCAGGAACCAGCCAGCGCTTAGCCAGCCCTCCACAGGACAGGATGGGGACGTTGGTGCTGAGGGTGGCTAGTGGTTTGTATTTGCAACCCGAAAACACCTGAGGAGAAGAAGCACTTGTTGTGGTTGTCTTCTTACTGACTTTCCTGTGGATTCTATGCCTCCCACCCTTTTCCTAATATCACTAGGTACAGGGCCTTGAGTTTATGGGCTCATTCCTACCTTGACGCATGATTAGGATTCCAAGAGACTTCAAAGAGGACTATCCAAAGACATTAAATTTGGTGTTTGGTCTGGATTAAAGGAAGCCTAAGATGAGGAAATTGATCCTAGCCCTGTAATACGTACAACTCCATGAAGCTCGTTCTATGGAATTATTAACTATTTACAGATTTAAAAAATAAAATATGGATCTCCAATCCCTTATCTGAAATACCTGGGCCCAGAAATGTTGCAGAATGCAGAATTGCTTGGATTTTAGAAAGGCTATGTACCAGATACGCCATACATTACACAACACTTCCAGAGCAGTCTAGGGTAGCACCCCCAATCAAGAATATTTACATTTTTGACATTTTCCATACACTCTTAACAAATACGTAGATCCATAAGTGGGATAAATTAAAATCTACAAATATCTTCATATCCAGTTAAATCAGGTTTTACAACCAAATGAAATCCAAGAATATTTGAATTTTCAAACCTTTTTGGATTTTGGAAAACTGTCTAAGGAGTGGTGGGTGTATATATTTGTTAAGAGTGCAGGGATGCTGATTTGCTGTGCTGAAATGATAAGGAGTTGTTTCGTATTACTCCAGTTGCCACCTCTAAAGGTCCCATGAAATAATAAGGGATTGAGATTAGTATAGTGATGTATCCTAACCCAGACTCACCATGTCTCCATAGATCTCATCAGCTAAGATTGGGACACAGTGCCTTTCAGCCACTAAAAATAAGAGAAACATGCTGAAATCATTTTTAATATGAACTGCCTTGTCATGTCTCCTGGTCTTATTGTTCTTTGCATTATATATTTGCATGCTTCGTCTTCCTCTTTAAGAATGGTTAATTCTTCTGATACTCTTCCAGGGTACAGAGCCTTAATTTGCCATCTAATAAACTAGGTATTTCAAAGCCTCTCTTCTACATGATGGAAGTGGTGAAGAGGCAAGTATTTCTTTGTTTTCTCCTTCTTTTAGGCAAGTCCTACCATTCCTATGGCACACTCTTGACTAGAGATGCCAGTGGAGTTCCTCTACCTCCATCCAAGGCTGGGAACATAGGGAAAGACTCTTTTTTGTCATTCCAGGAAACAGCTGAAGGATTCTGTCCCCATTTCCCCTGTGAAGTGAAGTCTGCTGGACTTACCTGCCAGAATCTTCTGAAGATGACTTTTGCTGAACACTGACCCACAGGGGTTTGATGGATTATTGACAATGAGACAAGCTGTCTTTTCATCAATCAGAGATTCCAGTTGTTTCAGGTCAACTTTCCAAGACTTCTCTGGCTGGGGAGGAATAAAACGTGAGACTAAGATGATTCTGAGAAATTTAGGGGGAATACTCACTTAACCCACCCACTTTCCAGACCTTTCTCTGCTAAGGTAATCGTCATATATAATCACAGAGTAGTAATTGAGCATTTGAGCATAAAATAAACAAGTCATTTACCAGTAAATTGTAGAATTTGACCTCAATCCCCATAGATTCAGCCAAAGTCTTGTAGAGAGAAAAACCAGGTCTCGGAACTAGAATGTTTTGCCCCGAGTTGGCCAACACAGCTAAACAAAGTTCAATAGCCTGACTGCAGCCACTTGTCAAAATGACGTCCTGTGAGAAAAATAAAAGGTTAATTTTGTTAGGGGTCCAACAGCAAAGGAAAAAAGAGCTTGTCAGATAGGTGAGTCGGGAGCAATAATGAACTCACTTTAACAAGTTCTACGTAAAGTAGTAGGACCTATACTAAGCCAAAATCAAAAGAAATTGATATATGTTCATGTCTATATGTTGTTGAAAATGTTGGCCTCTTAAATAAACAAATCAATTAAAAAAGGACAGGTTGACTATGACTCAACAAACTTCCATGAAACACCATTCTGACCTTGGACTTTTTTCACCTGGTTATTTATTAACTAACTTATGGCCAGAGAATTGAAGTTTGGCTTTTCTCTGAAATACAGATGAAAGATACATCTGATGTTAGGAAATGTCAACCCCCCACAGCAGAGAATGGAGGGAAGGGAGAGAGTAAACTCATCAAGTCTCTATGCCACTGTACCTCTCTCTTTCCATCTTTCGAATGACCTTTAGATGAATGAGAGAGGCTAAAATAAAAAATTATCCTATCAGTAAACTTTTAAATTTTAATTATTTGGTGTTATAATTATTTAATTATTGCTCTCAGTGATCTTTTGCAAAGAATCAAATATAGGGTGACTTCTGAGTCCTATGTGCTTTCTTGAGACAGACACCACATAAGTTGTAACATCATTATCAGACTGTGATGACATTGAATATTATCATTGATTAGTGGCCCCTACTATATAGGAAGTTCCCAAATTTATAAAGTCCTCGAATTGGCTTTTTTTCTCCCCTGAAACACTCCTAGTGGAACAGAAACAAAGAAAAGGGGTTATAGTTTGCCCTACATTGCTTCAGAGCTGGTAACTTGACTAAGACTCACCTTAGCTTCTAGAGGTGCCTCGGGACAGTGGTAATAAGAAGCGACCTCCTCCCGACTGGATAGGTAGCCTGAAAGAAAAGAGTGGCAAGAGGAAACTGGAGATTTTCATCCCTCAATTGATGGCTGTGCCCTAGAAGGTCAACACGGGCTTCAGGCTGCCTCTGTCCCTGCTCAGAGCACATTCTATTCCGTTTAGCCGTGAGCCACTGTATATAAATGAGATTAATTTTATATTTTACAATGTTATTGTAAGCAGAAATGCATAGCCAATAACAAGAAAGAGCTCCCCACATTATAAAATACTCCTTCCTGTCTTGATTGCTGTGCTTATGTTTTATTCTCTGTAAAATAAAAGACCTAGATTATCCCTAAATCCTATGCAGGGACTATATTTTTTGAAAAGTTGTAATCAATGCACTTAATACGTGTGGTCCATTTAAAATTTTTTACATTATATAATATACCTGTGAGTATTTTTGTACAATTTTTTCTTTTAAATTATTTTCTTGTACAATATTTCCAAATGTTGGCTTACAAGCTTGAAGTATTGACAGTTTTATGCCCATTATCACATTTTGCAAAATTGCTTTCCAAAAGATTGTCTTGAGTTGGCAAAGCCGGAGGCATTATTTCATGATGTTTGTTAATTTAGTAGGTTTGGATGAGTTTCTTAAAATTACATAAATCAGCACTTCCTTAATTATTAATAATGAAGAACATATTATCATGTGTATCTCCTTTGGCATGAAATATTCATATCCTTTGAACATTTCTCAAATGCAAACTTGGTTTTGGTTTTCAGGTCAAATCAGTTTCCTAACACTTTGGATATTAAAGTCATCATCAACTTTTTAATAACCTAACTTTTGGTCTTGGTTTTGCTTTGATTTTTGCTGCATGAAACTTTATGAAATGTAAGTTATCAACCTAAAAATCATGTCCCTGATACCTCTTTGAAGTGTTTTTAAAATTCGATTTTAGCATGAAACTGGGTTTTTATTCTCCATTAAGAATATGGTTCTATGTACACATATACACAGGGGGGAAAATGTGCAACACTGAAACAAAGTCAAGGAATCATTTATTTTACCAAAATCTTTAGGGTAGAAATTTTTAATATGGAGAGAGTTAATCCTAAATAGGAATAATTTATTTTTATCAGAAACAATTCTCTGTCCTTCAATATGGCAGCCCACTCTTTGTTTTTGTTTTTTGTTTTTGGTTTGGGGGGGTGCCTCTTTAATCTTAAACACTTACAATTGCATTTTGATGTGATAAAGTCCATAATGAAAATAGGCCTACAATATATAAAGGAGGAGAATAAAGCAAAGGAGCTATTTACAGAGGGCAGTAAGTTAATTTTAGATCTAGGAGACTCAGTAAACAAGCAGCTCTAACCAGATTCAAGGCCTTCATATTATAATTAGTAATGATAGGATAGGAGCATTATTTGAGAAATACGTATGTTTGGGAGCCTAGAGGGGAGGTGCTGGTATGTCAGAGGAAGCCGGGAAAGAAGATGGACCTTCCTGGCTTGTGTTTAAACATCCCAAGACCCCTTTCTCCAAATCTAAAGTGCCATTTAATTTTAGCTCTCCTTAAGAATTGGTCATCAGGAAAGCAAGGAAAATTGCCAGAAATTTGGTCCAATTATAAGAGCACTGAAGATTTGGAAGCCACCAGGTATAAAGTCTCAGGAGGAACTTACCAGTAGACGGAGCATAGCCGTTATATTTCCCCGAGTCCAGGGCATCTTTCATTGCTTGAGTAACTTCAGGGTCTGTAGGTAGGTTTCCAAACACAGTGGGGTCTCCTTTTCAGGGGAGGAACAATAAAGAAGCCACCAAGAGGTTAGTCTCCCATGTCCAGTACTCAGTCTCACCCTCCACTTCCATCTTCTCCTACCAGCTGGTGCAGATGGGGGGGGAGCAATGACTGCCCCTCAGTGTCGAGTGTCCCCAACTCACCGATTGACAGAGATATCATGGTTTTGTTTGGATTTGGCTTCACCTTCATGTTGTCTACGATGGCCCGGATGGGATTAAAAGTTTTGTTGGACATGTCCGAGGGCCTCACAGACCATCTGGCCTTCCTGCCTTTCGTTTTTCCTGGTGCAGAGCTTCTCCCGCTGATGTTGACATGCACGTCCAGAACTGAGGGCAGGTTGCCAGTGCCGTTCATCTGAATCACGTATGGGTCCATTGCTAGCGAGGCCTGTGAGGAAGAGAAAGAAGTCCCTGTGGTGTTAAGAACAGAGCACGACGACGAAGGGACTGGGGGGTGGGCTAGATATGGACTTAAGCATCAGGGCGACTTCACTGGATGTCTCTTTCCAAACTCTATTTTTTTTTTTTCTGCTGATTCTTGTTATGAATGAGGAGAGTTTTAAGACTTTTTGCTGGGCTGGCCCGTGGCTCACTCGGTAGAGTGTGGTGCTGATAACACCAAGGCCGCAGGTTCGGATCCTATATAGGGATGGCCGGTTTGCTCACTGGCTGAGTGTGGTGCTGACAACACCAAGCCAAGGGTTGAGATCCCCTTACTGGTCATCTTTTTAAAAAAAAAAAAAAAAAAAGACTTTTTGCTGAGATGGAAAATAAAGCAAGAACTCATTCTACAATGTTAGCAGAGAGCATTCAGTTGAATATTTATCTACTATATGTGGAATGTGCTATGTGCAACTTGTAATCCCTGAAAAGCTTAGCCATGCTTTAAGTGAAACTAAGGGGAAATGACATGAAAATCATTAAACAATCAGAGCACAAGTGTTCCCTCCTTTCCATGCAGGGCCTATCCGAGAAAATCTCCTTAATGCTTCAGTACTGTGTCTTACCCTCTGCAGAGAACCAAAAAGAACCACTCCACCTTGTTAGAAATTTAGTGTTAATATCATTGTTAGTAAAAGCAAAGGCCTATCCCATAAGCATCTTATGACTCTGGGTGGAAAAAGAAATCAATACATCAGAAAGAAAAAAGCAAACATCACCATGGGATCACCTGAGTCTTGAGATTTTTTACCTTTTAAAAGGAGAAGCAGCTTCCAAGGAGCCAAACCTGAAAGCTCATTCAGTTCTTCTTTGACAAGTTACAGTGATAATGAACTCAGATATAGATCCTGACTCCTGAAATAGTCTCCACAAGTGGGCGTTGGGCCCAAAACTTCCATGCTATTGGATCGGATGAGAGCTAAACCCTCCCCTCGGCCTCTTCCCTTCCCTTCTCACTCTTTGCTGCTCTCACCCCTATCCCTACTCCCCACCCTCAAATCGGGAACTTAACCTCACTCACTTCAGGCATCTGAAATACTCTGTGTTAACTCTTCCTCGGCATTTTGTGAGATGTTTGAGAAGACTGTCAGGGTAGTTACAATTACAGTTGGTAATTTCTATTAAATCTTTTTTGTTGTTGCAAAACAACCTATTTAAATTAACAGTACAGAAACATATAAAGTAAAAAGTGAGAGTCTTTTCTTGCACCCTCCTGCCTGTATACTACGTTCTCACGTGTGGACATTTTTTTCATCTGCACACATAGAGATCAACTTTATTCCTTCACTCAGTTGGAGCATGGTGCTGATAACATAAAGGTAAAGGGTTCAGATTCCCATGCTGGCTAGCCACCAAAAAAGAAAAAAGAGAGAGAGAACAACTGCATAGTGTTCCATTTAGCTATTCTACTCTCGACAGACATGGGGCAGCTTCCAAATTGTGGTATTACAAATAAAGCTTATCAAGTGCCCTTGTACATTTATGATTGAGAACTTTTATGAGTATCCTGCTATTTGTGGGAGAATTTTCTAGAAATGGAATCATAGTCTGAATTCCGATAGACCCACCAAATTGATCAATGACAGACTATAGGAAAAAGAGACAATACAAACATGTCTTATTTTGACCTCTTGGAATTCAGACTACCTGTCAGGACAACATGTCCTGATTGAGGTATGATACACAGAATCGACTGAGTGTTACTGTAGGGACGGAGTCACAGAGGTGGGCAATAATTACTTATTAGAGCACAGTAAGGCAGACTTTATTCAGGACCCGAGATAGGTATAGGGACCACTGCAATGGGATTTTGCAGTGGGGGAGAGAGATAGAGCTCAACTCCAAATACAGCATGGGCAAGTAGGAATTTATAGCCAAGGAGCAGGGTGGGCTACAATGGATAGAAAATTACTAAGAGGAAACATCAGGGGTACATGGGATTCTGGCTAAACCAACCTAACAGGATTCTTGCTGAAGAAAAGACAGGCCTGGGTCATCAGACATCACCTGGGGGATGGTGGAGGATGAGAAACTGTGAGAAATACCCTCACCAGCCCAATGCCAAAGGATGGACACAGAGACATGAGGCACAGCAAGGTGAGACTTTAATAACAGTCTTGCAAGATTGTGTGTCTAAGCAGGCATGTGGAAAAGGGCTGTAGCAAGCAATTTATTCCCTAGTATGCAAGTTCCTCGGCCCAGTTCCTCATTGACTGAGTACTACAAATACAATCTTCCCAGACGATGCCTAAGATTTATTACCCCCTTGTAAGGAATTTCTCTGTCTGAGGGCTGAGGACAAGCCCATGAGAAGGCCCACTAAAGCCCCTTGAGGGGAGAAACACCAGGGAATGAAGAAAACAAAAGGGGCTAGTAACTAATTACCATCTCAAGGATGAGCTTTATCTCTTCAGCAACCTTCCAGGAAAATAAAGACAACAATAGGGGCTAGTAACTAATTACCATCTCAAGGAGAGCTCTATCTGTACAGGACCTTCTGGGAAAATGAAGAAAACAATGGGGGCTAGTAACTAATTACCATCTCAAGGATGAGCCTTATCTGTTCAGCAACCTTCCAGGAAAATGAAGATAACAGTAGGGGCTAGTAACTAATTACCATCTGGAGGAGAGCTCTATCTGTGTATCGATCCTCCTCTGGAATGGGCTGAACCAGTCAGACAACTTTCGGGCTGGGGCTGTAAAATACCTCTGAATCAGTTAAACACCCTCAGATAAGTCATTTCTGAAAACGAATCACTTAGATTATTTCCTTACAGGAACCCAATCAGATATCCAGGAAGGTGTGGGAGGGTTCTTGCCAAAATGGCTTAGCAGGATTCTTTGCTAAAACTGGACTTTACAAGGAAGGGTACAGATGAGCCTAGGAGAAGGTCCAGGAGGCTGGCCAAAGTTTGGTCAAGCAGGGAATTTTTGTCAGAGATTAAGACCGTTCTTTTTGATATTGGCCTTTAAAGGAGTTAGATAAAGCAAGGATGGGATTTTCTCAACATTAGAAGACTATTGTAACTGATTTCTATCACACAAGGTTTAGACTTTCAAGGATCCCAGCTACCCATGAGACTCAGGTCTAACTCCCCTTCCCATATACACACACAGCCTAGAACGTTGGTGTCCTGTCTCCATCTGGACATTAAAACAGGAGCCTTGGATTATTCAGTTGTTAATCTCCCCTAGAGCAGCAGCAGTGTCAGCCCACCTATGTCTCTGGCTATCAGTTCCTTCTCATTGCTTGGCCCCTGGGGTGTTCCTTTTTACCTTTGGAACTCAGGCATTTTTTTGTATTTTATTCAACATTTCTAGATATTTCTATAACTAAAGATTTTCTTGTCCTCAATATTGCCAGAAGTGGAAAGAAATTCTTACTAATTTGAAATGTCACTTTTACCTTGTATTAAATTCCTGTATCTTTCTAAATCTGTTTATGGCATACTCTGCTCTAGAATATTTGAGAATATTCTATTCCAGAATGAACATTTAGAGTTCTTTACACACACTGCCAGGTTGCTTTCAGAAAGGCCAGTTACCCTCCTATCAGTAATTGTTTGCAAACCCTGGGCATTATTTTCTAAGAAAATCTTTGCCATATCGATTAATGGGGGGGGGGGGTATTTGAGAATATTCTATTCCAGAATGAACATTTAGAGTTCTTTACACACACTGCCAGGTTGCTTTCAGAAAGGCCAGTTACCCTCCTATCAGTAATTGTTTGCAAACCCTGGGCATTATTTTCTAAGAAAATCTTTGCCATATCGATTAAGGGGGGGGGGGGGCAGGGAATGGTATTAAAGTGGTGCTGTTTATTTCTGTCCCTTTCATTTTAGTGAGGGTGGTCATTTTTTGTGTTTATTAGCTCTTTGCATTTTGCGAATTGTCTGTTTGTGTCCCTCACCTGTCTCTCTACAGAAGAACTCATTTTTTCTTGAGGTAGGCCCTAGGAAGCTACTACAAGGCAACAGAACACCTGCTTTGAGAGTACTGGTCCAGCCTCCTCTGTCTCAACCAGCTCAGACTCAGGTTTACAGATCAAAGAACAGCAAGCAGCACAGGATGTTGCTGGGTGGTCCTGCAAACAGTGCTGACGTGGAATCTGCAGGGTGGAGGGGTGTGTGTGAAGTGGGCAAGAACTGCTGTGTCAGAAGGTCATTGCCATGGACACACCTTCATGTCTGCTTTGGTAGCGAACAGCTAGACCTAGATCAGAAGGAAAAACAGACAATGCAAATAAGTTGCAGTAATACCCATCTTCTTTAGGTAATGTTTCCCTCAGTAGAAAGCAGACAAGAGAGGCCAGCCCATGGCTCACTCGGTAGAGTGTGGTGCTGATAACACCAAGGCCCCGGGTTCAGATCCTACATAGGGATGGCCAGTTCGCTCACTAGCTGAGTGTGGTGCTGACAACACCAAGCCAAGGGCTGAGATCCCCTTACCGGTCATCTTTTTTTTTTAAAAAAAAAAAAAAAAAAGAAAGCAGACAAGAGAAAAATGAGAGGACTGAATTCAAGAAGCTTTACTGATACCAGGTAAATTTTACTGGGCAGTCAGGGCCCGGACAACTGTGAAAACACTCAAAAAAGTCTACACCACCCAGCCATAGTTAAGACCTTTTATTTAAAAACGAAGCAACAACCACTTTCATTAATTCTTTTAAAGTATCTGTAATTTAAAAAAGTATTTTAAATTTTTTTAAAATCATGGTTTAAAAGACCATAACATTAAATTTGCCATCTTAACCATGTTTTTTCATCTTAACCATTTTTAAGTGTACAGTTCAGTAGTATTAAGTACATTCACGCTGTTGTGCAGCAGATCTCCAGAACTTCTTCATCCTGCAAAACTGAAACTCTCTACCCATTAAACACTAATTCCTCCTTCTCCTTCCTCCCAGCCCTTGGCGACTCCCTTTCTACTGTCTGTTAGAAAATATTTTTGAAATAATTCCACCACCCAAAGATAACTGCTGCTAACTATTTTGCCCACAATTAACATTGTGAAAATTATATATTTTCTAGATATACATCCGTATGCTTTACATATCAAAATTTTGTATTCCGTGGGTCCCATTTGACAATATATTGTGAACATATTCCTAAGACTATAAAAATCTTTGTAAACTTGCTTTTTTTTTTTTTAGTTTTTATTTTTAAAAGATGACTTGGTGTTGTCAGCACCACGCTCACCCACTGAGCTAACCGGCCATCCCTATATGGGATCCGAACCCGGGACCTTGGTGTTATCAGCACCGCACTCTCCCAAGTGAGCCATGGGCCAGCCCGTGTAAACTTGCTTTTTATACAGGTTGGACATCTATCCCATGCCAAGCACTGTTGGACACAGTGTACCTGAATCAACTTATATAATCTGCACATCAGTCCTAGAAGTAGAGCCGGTTCTTTCTGACTTTCACTTAGATGAAAACTAAGTTGCCCAGGTAGTCTAGCTAGCGGTGAGTTGGAGTTAAAGCCTCGAAATCTGGCTCCAGACCTCACTCCACAAATCTGCCTCTCTTTAGAGGACAAAGTGAATTGAGAAACACAGTCCTTTCTTCCCTAAGGAATATAAAAAAGAGAAAACATAAAGAGAGCCAACTGGGAAAAACCTTAAGAAAATAATGAATGAACTATGTAGATTACCTATGGACCATCCACCTGCTTTTTATTACTTATTTCCATATCTTTCTATCCTGAATCATCACCAAGTAACACTCATCTGTTGGGTAGAAAGGAATGTTTATGTTTTAACTCCCTTACGTAAGCTCCGGGAGGAAGCGCACAGAGAAGAACATCCCCTAAACTCTCGACATCCTCCTGAATGTC